TCTTCATCTCACGCAATGCCTCTCTTGTCTGGTTTTGTCTTCTTCATCTCACGCCATGCCTCTCTTGTCTGGTTTTGTCTCCTTCACCTCACGCCATGCCTCTCCTGTCTGGTTTTATCTCCTTCACCTCACGCCATGCCTCTCTTGTCTGGTTTTATCTCCTTCACCTCACGTCATGCCTATCTTGCCTGGTTTTGCCTCCTTCACCTCACACCATGCCTATCTTCTCTGCCTTTTGTTAATAACTAATACTCAATTTGCCAAATTATTCCTTCTTGGTAGCAAAATTACTCCAATTCCAAGTAACAAACATTCATTTCCCACGGGAAAAAGGAAGATAATCTATCTTCAAGCACCTAAGATGTTGTATTTTCGATGGCCAACATTGAAATGCTGACGGTCAAATCATTCTCATCTAAATACCTAAATATTTAAATACTCATCAGAATTTCGATTTTGAGCAAAACATTATACAAAAAGACCTAAGTCCCAACGGGGACAGTAAATGTGGACTCATGGACAGAGGCTTGAAAAAGATCAGTAAAAATGGTGAGAGAGAGAAAGAAAGAAAGAAATGGCTTCTGTGATACCTAAAGGTGACAGAGAGAGCAGATCTGTAACCTTAAAAAAATAAGCAAGTCAGTCACAATTATGAAATAAGAACATACAGAATAAGGCAATTTGTTTTGCAGTTGGAGAATGACAAGAAACAGATGACCAGGGATGAGCATCACCAAGAATGTGATAACATTTGAGCTACTCTGGCTTGTAGATGATGGATGTCACTGTGGAAGATGGGTGATCAAGGCTGGCTTAGAAGATATCTTCAAAGAAGTAAAGGAAAGTGAATCTCTTGAGGCTCATGTGCAGCTGTGGTAACTACAGCTGAGTTGGTCGTTGTGAAGCAATAAGGAGAACTAGACACATTGACAAACTGAGGTTGGCCAGTACCTGAAGATCATGAGAAGATTTTCCCAAGACTGACTGAAATCCTCCACTACTAGAGAAGTTGTATCTGGAGGTGGAGACCAGTTAAGTTGGACAAGGTTGTCTGCAATTGCAAACGAATTGATCACAGGATGAAGAAGCTGTTGGTAGAACCACTGAAGGATGTCGGGTACATTCCGTAGTGAAAAAGACAACAATCTCTAGAAAGAGAATCTGCAAGAATGTGCATAACACCTGGCATATGATAGGTTCAAAGATGTATATGATGTGAATGGACCCAAATATGAAGACACCACAGCCAAATAAAGGCTTTGTGATTGAGTTCTTCCCTGACTGTTGATATATGCCACCATTGTAGATTTTTCTATGTGAATTATAACACAGTGGTGTATCAAGGAAATTAACTTTTGATAAATCTGTTGAACTGCCAAAGTTCCTAAAGGTTGGTGTGAGATTCAGATCTTTCCCATGATAGCACACAAGAAGTTTCTGCAAAGAGGTACAGATCTGGATGAGGCTGAAGAAAAGAAAACCTAAAAAAGTAAACTCCCAATTGAGCCAAAGGAGAAGCTATAGAGTAGTTCAAGAAAAGGAAATTTTCTGATATAATGAGTGCCACCGAGTACAAGATCCCATTGAAGGTGCATCATTTAGTACAAAGAAACTGCCTTATAAAGAGAAGACACCATCCCTAAATTAAAGAGTAAATCTTAGGAAAACAGAGGTAGGTGTACCTGAGACTCCAGGAATTCCAAAGCCATAAGAGATAGGTGAATAATTCCCTAGAGTGTGTTTATCTAAAACCCAACATCCACCAAGTATTTACAACATACAATATAGACCTAGACTTGTGAACAATCGAACTATGAGAACCTGAGTGGTGAATTGTGAGTGAATCTGTGAGTGGAGCAATGTTTGATTGAGAATAAGTAAATCATCAATGTAATAATGAAAACTGATATCTAGAGGGTTTAGAAAACACCAAAGACTTCAACTACACGTGCAAAGACATAAGGAGCTGAAGCCAGATGTAAAGGGAAAGTTGTGAACTGATAAACAACTTGTATTGTGAAGATGGGTGAATTGGAATGTGAAGATAGGCATTTTGATATCCACTTTCATCATCCAAAGATCAAGAACAAGGAATTTGTGTAAAATCCTTAAGTTTTTCATCTTGAAATGAGTAATGTTCAGGTAATGATTTTGACAGAGGAAGTTATATTACTGGTCTACAATCCCTTGATTGTTTTGATACTAAAACAAATGAGAGTAAAAACAAACATTATTCTAAAAAAATGTTTCTGTAAAAGGTCCAATAGTTTCTGATTCAGAATTTGTATACAAACTTCATTGAACTAAAGAAGAAATTAAACTAGAAAAGTTGAAGGTGGAAGAGGATGGTAAAAATAGTGGATAAAAAACTCAAATTGTAGAATCTGATGAAAATAGTGGATAAAAATTCAAATTGTAGAATCTGATAAAAATAGTGGATAAGAAACTCAAATTGTAGAATCTGATAAAAATAGTGGATAAAAAATCAAATTGTAGAATCTGATAAAAATAATGGATAAAAAACTCAAATTGTAGAATCTGATAAAAATAGTGGATAAAAAACTCAAATTGGAGAATCTGATAAAAATAATGGATAAAAAACTCAAATTGTAGAATCTGATAAAAATAGTGGATAAAAAACTCAAATTGTAGAATCTGATAAAAAATAGTGGATAAAAAACTCAAATTGGAGAATCTGATAAAAATAATGGATAAAAAACTCAAATTGTAGAATCTGATAAAAATAGTGGATAAAAAACTCAAATTGGAGAATCTGATAAAAAATAGTGGATAAAAAACTCAAATTGTAGAATCTGATAAAATAGTGGATAAAAACCTCAAATTGGAGAATCTGATAAAAATAGTGGATAAAAAACTCAAATTGTAGAATCTGATAAAAATAATGGATAAAAACCTCAAATTGTGAGGTAACTGCAATCTTTAAAAATTGAATCAATTTATAATAGTATCAGTCATGACTCAACTTACAGAAGGAGGAGAAAAGATGAAAGATTCTAAAATAGAATCCTTTAACAAAACACTAGAATCTTCAAGTTTATCAAAAATTGGCACAAGCTTCATGAGGATTGGAACTAGCTGGAAAATCCTGCATAAACCAGCTTGTTCTTCGAATAAAAAAGATCTGATAACTCGTCAAACTGGCATCGAAATAACCATGATACTTGGCAGATTCAACCATTAACGGTCCAAATATACTGGTCAATAAATGCAGACAATACAGCCATCCTGATGCATGCATCAAAAGCCATTCAGAACATTTAGTCATATGATTGTTAACAACATGAGAGAGAAAACTGAACACGGAAAGGTTTTCTGTATTTCTAAGGTAAGTCCACCCGATTTAATTATATATATATATAAATATGTCATAGTCCACCTGATTTAATTATATATATATATATATATATATGTCATAGTTCACCTGATTTAATTATATATATATAAATATGTCATAGTCCAACTGATTTAATTATATATATATATATGTCATAGTTCACCTGATTTAATTATATATATATATATGTCATAGTTCACCCGATTTAATTATATATACAGTATATATATGTCATAGTTCACCTGATTTAATTATATTTATAAATCATAGTCCACCTGACTTATTTATACATATAAATCATATCTGATTTTAGACAAGTATATATCTACACCTCATTTTTTCTAGCAACCATACGATGGTTTGGAATAAACACTGCTTGATGATCCTAACAAATACAGGTACCCACATGTGTTGTAAATACAGATTACACTCTTCACTGTCATTCACTATCCATGTATAAAAGTGAAAGATGTTTAAGGGTTTCAAAGTTTAGGTTAGTAATGAAACATACTTTCTGTTTTATTCTATAACAAGCACTATTATCTTTAATGAATAGTGAAACATTCAAAACAACTTACTTGTATGAGTTCAGTACCATGTCATTGACGCCTACATGAGCTTGATCCTTGCCAGTCAACTCCCGAAACTAGATTATTAAAGGAAGATGAAACCTCATAATGGTTTCCAAATACATTTTAAATAAAATCTTAAAGTAATGCATGCAAACAAAATGAATCTACACGTTACAAAATACTTAAACAAACAAACAAAATGAATCTACATGTTACAAAATATTTAAACAAACAAAATGAATCTACACATTACAAAATACTTAAACAAACAAACAAAATGAATCTACATGTTACAAAATATTTAAACAAACAAAATGAATCTACACATTACAAAATACTTAAACAAACAAAATGAATCTACATGTTA